CGTGCATCACGTTGGCGCTAAAAGTGCCATTTTGATCGCGTATCGCGCGAAAAGAGAAATGATATATATACCGTGATATAATAAAGCTCATATATCCGACGGAGTTATGACTGTCGTGGGAAAAAATAAGAAGGGGAAATGCTTTACATTTGCTTATATTATACGCGATATAATACTTGGAACGTAAGAAATCACGTTAAAAGCTAGAACGTCGAGTTTCGACCCTGAAATATGGTAAAAACGCATCTGAAAATTTTACATACGAAATCTGATTATTTCATTTTACTTATGGAAAATGATAAAGAAAAAAAAATGATTCTAATTCGAAGTTAATGAAATAAGCCCATTTTCTCAAAAGACTTCTTATAATAACAATGAAGAATGAATGTTTTCTGAAGAATATAAATGTAAAAAATTAAAGATAAATTTAACATGTTGTACAAAAGCGACAAGAATTTAACTCAAATCTAAAAAATATTCGAATATTCCATCGATAAGTATCTGTATGTGTGTATGTGTGTGTATATATATATATATATATATATATATATATATATATATATACACATATATAGGTCAAAGATAATAATAGTGTCTGAAGAATCTCTTCCATTTTATCGAGCTTCCCTTACCACCAATCTTTTATCCTCTCCTACAAAGATAATATCGTGTTAACATGCTTGCAAATGCAATTATTATAAATTGATAAAAATAAATCGAGAGAGAAAGTGGAAGAGAGTATATTCACAAGATTACTTTCATTTCTTCTCACCATAACACACTTATATATTCGAAGGACAACAAATATGACAGAAAGAGAGAGACGATAATTATCGAAAAAAAAAAAAAACTATACAAACGCATAAATTTATTATATATTAATTTTCCACTAGGATCAATGAATCATTTTCAATTTCATTCATCATAAAGTTTGTCGATCGAGTACCAAAGTCGAGCGAGTTTACACAATTTGAGTGAACGCACGTTCACGCTCGCGGGTGTAATCGTGTAAGGTAGTAGACAAGCTGCTTGTAACAAATGGACCCGCTTGCATGGCGCAACCGTGCGAAGTACGCAGGAGCAGTGTTGGTTTTCGGCTCGTGCAGCACCCTTTCGCGGCTCGTGTTTGCTCTTCAGCGAGCACGCACATACTATTCACTCTTTCTCTCTCTCTCTCTCTCTCTCTCTCTCTCTCTCACACACACGATCTCTCGCTCTCTCTTTGGTGGGAATAGTGGCAGCGCGCTTACCCGGAGCGTTTTACGTTGCAAGCATAAAACGAGAAAGCAAACAAAGTGGACGGTATAATTTCACAGTACTGGAATGACACACTGATTGCAGCTGCGGGATGTAACTGCGGAATAGCTTTATATATACTGCGACATACTATCCAAATTTTCTTCTTCTTCTTCTTCTTCTTATTCTTATTCTTATTCTTATTCTTATTCTTATTCCTTTTCTTTTCCAACGCTTGATCATTTCATTTTATTTAAAGTCACCTACTTCTTGGAAAAAAACTTATGTTAGTTATATTTTAAATGGAATCGAATCGAACGAATGCATTCAATAAATGTATTTTGAATCAATCATGAATCTATTTTCTTATCCTTTCTCGTTACTTACACAGAGTTTATAAACTCTCGTTTCATTCACAATCTTCCATCCAATCAATCCAAGAGAGCGAAAAGTCATCATCCGTTATCACAGTTCCGTCATTCCAATGTCGTAAACATCACAGATGAACCATCCAATATTGTATGCATATCGCGAGAAGCAACGAAATTTAATCCAACTGTTCGAACAGCTCGGGAGGACGGCTGTTAGTAGTCTCGATTCTTGTTCCAGAACCATTTCTGACTTTTGCTCGCTACCTGAAAGCCGGTAATACAAGAGTGGTTACGGTTTCTGACTCGTTTATATGTACCTGCTCTCTCTCTCTTTCTCTCTTTCTCACTACTATTTCCTCAGTTCCTCTACTCTCTAACAGAGTCCCAGCCGCCGTCGGTGTGCATGAATATTTTACAAAAATGTATGCCTCAAAGAACCCAGTCATTCCCATTCACGGTTGCTCGATTTTCTAGTGGCACACGGCGCGTGCACACGTGTGGCTCACTCGTACGTACATATTTTCTACGTTTATGCCTATATCTGCGTATATGCTCGCTCTCTCGCAGCCCCAGCATTATGTTTCTTCGCGTTTTATTCCTACGGCCTCATGCTTCTCTCCGCGTACGTAGATATACATAGATGTACATATATACACTAAGAATTCTGGAAAGAAGCAGTCAGACTATTTATTCGTACGACGAGAGAATATCACGAGGAAAAGACTATCAGACTGAGTGAATTGAACTATCGAATTCGATCGATTTCTTTCTTATTTCTTTTATTTTTACTCGAAGTAATATGCGGTTTTGTTCGTATCGCTGTGAGAAATTGACTTTATGGTTAGCCTCGTTGAATTTGCCAACACTCAATTTACGATCCTTCTAAAGATTTTCTTTTATATTAGAAATAATACGTGAAAATATCATTCATTCGCATCACCATCATTCAATCAACTATTTTCTTCAATTTCTAGGTATTTGTTCAATTACTAATAAAACGAGAGAAGTAAGTAATCATTAGAAACGCTCGTATGCACACTTTAGCTGAAGTTCCGTTCCGGCAGTTGGTAGGAGGAAACACGAAGACGCGTAGTCAACTTGCTTTTACGAAGACAACAATTCTCTCGTTCAACCTATCCTCCCTTTCTCTTTCTCTTTCTCTTTCTATCTCTATCTTTATCCCTCTCACTCCAAGCAATGTTCACGCCTTGATACCAAAATCCAAAGTTCGCGGGCGTGTTACTACTAACTGACTGAAACTGTATGAGCGAGAACGGGTTTCGTAACGACTTCACAAACCTAAATTGGGTCTAACCTTCTAGACCGGATAGCCGTATAGTTATGATAATGTTTATACGTACGCGTGCCACCACAGTTTGCATTTACCAAGAGAACCTGAATTAAGGTAACGCAGAGGGCCACTGTCAATTCGATCGCTGCGCCATGCTTCGAAATTTATGACCCGTGGAATCGCGATTGTAGCTATGTTAATCAGGTATATAGGCTGGCGGATTACCTTGCCGGTGACGGTGATATTAATCACGATAAAGCAAACTCGTGCGTCGTCGGTGATTACAATGAAGCGAGTCGAGTTAGCGAGTATTCCCTTCTCTCTCTCTCTCTCTCTCTCTCTCTCTCTCTTTCTCTCTCTCTCTCTTTCTCTCTCTCTCTCTCTCTCTCTCTTTCTCTCTCTGTCTCTGTCCCTGTCTCTTTTGGCTTAAAATGTTGCTCCGATGAAATCGATTTACCAATTCCGTCGATGGAACTTGGCATTTCGTTACAATCGAGTTAATGGCAAAAATATAGAAACCAAACTGCAGAGAAGTTCCCGTTTGTTGCATTATGTACACTAACATTTACTTAATGGATGTTAATTTACGGCGAAGAGGGAAAGACAGAGATAGATAGAGAGAGAGAGAGAGAGAGAGAGAGAGAGAGAGAGAGAGAGAGAGAGAGAGAGAGAGAGAGAGAGAGAGAGAGGATATGTGTGTATGTGAGAAAGAGTGAAAAAGAAAGAAGAATGAAGTGAGCTTGAAAATAAAGAGAAATTTTCTTTCAGATTACAGACACCTTGGTAAATGCTAAAACGAGAACTATCTAAGTTTCACGGTCTAGTACGAACAGAACAGTTAAATGATACCTATTTGCATAAAACAAATAGAGAGAAGGAAACGACATGACGTTTGGTACGGAACGATGTAGAGGCGAATTTGTAGGTAGGTAGTTAGCGTTTGAACGGAAGACGGAATCTCGATAGGGTGATGCCGATCTCTGCTTTTGGCGCTAGGCTGCCTGTCCGATAAGAACGGCTCAGCTTGATTTATCGAAAATTAATATGCTACACGGCCGACGCCTCAGCGAAAATGGAGATCGTGTTGCTACCAGTGCAAACGAGAGAAAGAAAAAGAGAAAAATAGAAAACGTAATGTTGGCGAAGAAGGTATAAGAGGAAAATTTAAAATAGATTTGCTCGTGCGAAAAACTCGATGTCGTTTCTTTTCCGAACAGAGCTTATCGTGGCTAAAGGTAAAGATAGTTACCTGAGAAAGAGAAAAAGAGAAAGAGAGAAAGGGAGAGAGAGAGAGAGAGAGAGAGAGAGAGAGAGAGAGAGAGAGAAAGAAAGAGAGAGCAAAGATAGAAAGAAAGAAATCGTAGAAAGGAGGCTAAATGGGTGAGAAAGAGAAAGAGAGAGAGAGAGAGAGAGAGAGAGAGAGAGAGAGAGAATGCATGTGCAGAGAAATGCTCATAGCGAGATGCTGCTTACGATAATAGAGCGACAATCGAAGACCCTTTCTCACGATTGCTCGACGAGAAGCTAAAGGCTTTCGGAGTCTCGTAGATAGAGCTTTCTCATCGTTTCACCAAGATGCTCTTCGCGCAAGGAGAATGCGTTCGTGAGCACCGGAAACGGATTCGACGAATGAAGAGATACTCTATCGATAAGCGTTGCTGATCTCGCTCGTTTTAGTCTCCACAACCGGATTTCTAAGGCGATCACGTTTATGGGCTGTGCGGCTACGACTCGTAATAACCGTGCAAACGATAATCACATTTCGCAAATCAAAGAAACTATCTGCCCTTTCTAGACATTCCACGTTGTCGTATACCATTGTAAAAATCATATATGGCATCGTTTCTAAAGAAATGATGATCTTTTTAAAGATTTTGATAGATCAGTGAATCAATATTCAATATGCGATGCTTCTAGATAAAATCTGTCGATAATTAGGCGTGAGCATTCAATCGTTCATAGACAGTTATAAAACTTATTTCTATTATATAATTAAATATCGTCTATTATTATTATTATTTATTCGCCGTATTAAACTGTGTACCTGAATATCATCCATCAAATTTATCTACAGTTTTATAACTATCATATTTTTCTTTCAGATTTCCATGGAGTAGATCCACAGGATGACGATCACTATGAAGTATTTTCACATTGTTCTAATACTTCTCGGAGGTACTCATCTCCTACGAGCTCAACCGTCGGCCTCTCCGCTTATCAAAAGCATTGGTAAGTTTCTCCCGTATTCTTTCTCTATGATATTATTATAGATTTAACAAGGAGAAATGATTATTCGGGAAATATTTTCTTTTTCGAAACGACGCGTGCTTCTGCACCGGGACATATTGATTAGCTGACGTCCGAGCTATAATCGCGTAGGTTGTATCGAGTATCTCGGCGTGTCGTGTCAGACAACGATAAGCAGAAACGCTCTGTCATACCTGTCACTCGATTCTGACTTAACGATACCCAACCAGCAATGCCATTTTCTCTATTACTTGTCTAAGCGATTCTGTTACTCGAGCGTATTTCTTCTCTCAATTGAAAAAAAAAAGGGAGCATATTGTTTGCATTCACTATGATAGCCCTTTTATTTGACTTTTCAAAATTAAAAGAAAGAATAAGAAAAAAATAGTCGACATCTTTCCAGTCGAGAGCAACGGCTGCGACCAATAACAGCCGGTCTTCACCGACATCCCCTTTTTACAAAACATAAAGCTCTAGGAAAGTTCTTTTTATTTTTACGACCAAGTCGCACGCAAGTTTAACGATGTACTGTAAACCACCGTTCGATGTAACCGGTCGCGCTCGAGATATCGTCGTAAAAAAGGGTAGACCGTCGAGAAAGCACGTAGATTATATCGTAATCCTTTTTTAAAAAGTTGCACGTTCAAGGCTTCTCTCTGTTTCGAGACTTTGAAGAGGGTCGTCGTTTTCGTTGTCAACGCGTCTTCAAAGGTAAACTGGAAAAAGAGATGAAGTGGAAGGAAGACAAAAAGATGAAGAAGGAAGATGAGAAAGATATAAAATATAAAGAGAAGAATGGTGAGAGCGAAACTAAAATAAAGAAATAAGATAGGGATAAAACGAAATAAGAAAGGAGTTTTAAGTTCTTAATACCCATGAAAAAACTTTATATTATATATATATATATATATATATACATTCATTAAATGTAGATTGATTTTTGTTGATTAAAAATCTCGATGTAATCCGTGTAATTGTTTAAATGGTAAACTGAATTTATACACATATACATACATTATATAAAGATCCAAATGAATTCTTGATAACTGAACTAGTTTCGGAGATAATCGTCTTTATGAAAAATTACCTGCGGTCATGTCTAGATAAGAAAGAAAGATAGAAAATGAAAAAGACTAAGGTACTCTCAATTCTTCTATTATTATTTCTTTTTCTTTCTTTTTTTTTTCTTTTTCATCATAAATCTCATTTTTGAAATTTTTATTTTCATCCGAGCTGAAATGCCGAGTAGACACGCGATGGCTGTCTATATAATAATTACGTCTATCCTCGTAATTAGCATGTTGTTGGAAGAGTGCTAATGAAACATCCATGCACGCGCGATAGAAAACGAACGAGTGAACCAGATATCGAATGATGTACTGGTAAGCGAATGAAACGCATGTCAAAAGGAATGACGAGTACTATCCATATATACCTAGTGTCTACGTAATCACATCTATTGTCAGCTTGCCGTCTGTCCTTTCGCTTTGACGATACGCTGAATTTAATATCCGTATTCGAGATTTTTCGTATTTCTCATTTCGACTGTATTATACGCAACGAAGAACACATTTCAACATTTTTACCTTTACTTTATTATCTACTTTCTTCATGTTTTTTCATACCTTCGCACTTTTTCTGTAACTCAAAGATGAAAAAAATATATCATAAATTATAGCGACGTTGTGTGTTTTGTCGATTAAATCTCAACCATTGGCGATGCGTCAGATGTATATTGAAACACGAATACATTATACATGAAATGCAGAATGAACTTGCACGTTCGTGAATTATGAAATGTATTTGCAACAATATTATTACTATATTGCAATTCCTAAATCCGGATTGATCGCAAGCGAATGGAAATCCCTTTCGGTTGTATCGACATCACCGCTGTCTCGTCTTAATTCATGGCTCGACGTAATTAATCCGTTGTATAGCGAACCGTGAATTTCAATTATGTTTCCTACGAAGGGTCCTTCGCTTAGTTTCAGAACGGTCGATGACTTTAGATCTCTATCGCGGTGACGATAATTTTGGTCGTTTCCTCGGAGAATTGACGGAAACGTCGATATTCTTGTTAAATTGAGGAAAGTTTATATTGTAGAAGTTATGCTAAAGCTTGACAACGACGACGACGGGTGTCGTTCCGTAATGAATCATCCAGCAAGGTGTTATCCCGATTCATTCGTAGGACATCCCTATCATCCATGTCGGAAGGTCACACAGGATAGGTGGAGATCCGCGTGTTCGCATGCGCTCTACGTACGCGTGATGTACCATGCTATGTGACCAATGTCTAGCATGCTGAACACGTTTCTACGTCATTTCCAGCTTAATATATGTACGTAGAATTTCTTGATCGCAGACATGTGTCCGGTCGACTGATCCCGTGAATTCTATCGAAATATGTCAGAAGAAAAATAGACATTATACAGGGTCGGAAATGATCGAATCGATGAAGGAAAATTTACGTGCCATAAATCGATAGATCAATCGATCGAGAATCTCTAAATTATCCGAAAATCTCACCCTGTTATAGTAATTTCGTGCGATTGTTAATCTAATTTTGTTAATGGCATCGTTAACGACGTGAGTTGTATAGGAGTGTTCCCTCATTTGGCTTACCACATTCGATCTCCCTTTGAGACCGTGTATTTTATGAATTACCCAAGCTTCTCCCAACGAATTTACGACATTTATCATTTTGGTAATTAATTTCCTCTGAAAAAGAAAATTAATAACGATATTTGTATTGAGTATATAACACAATATCGCAAATGTTTGGGCTATTTATACGAATCACGTTCAGTATTGATTGAAAACAAACGAATGTTTATCGTCTATCCATGTAATTATTTATTTATTTTTTTATATTTGTTCGTTCGTATTTTGGCATTTGTTATCGTTATACAGTAAAATGAAAGTTATCTCATATACATATGTACATAACAACCATCTATAGGTAACTCATAACGAAATTTTTATGTGATTCGAGCAAACTCTGTCGAGTACGATTTAAATAGAAAAATTTATCGAAGCGAGATCCTCGAACGGCAACTAGAGCGTAGAGCATTATTTTTAACGAAGTTCGAGGCAAAGCTCCGTTAGCCGATCGGCGAGAGAGCATCCAGACGGTATTCAATTTCTATGCGCACTTGACTCAGCAGTCCGTAGTAGCAGGTGCGGCAAATGAGTCTTTCCTCGAGATACTTCGAATCACCCGACTTCGACCAAACGGGAACTGCACTTAATGCAGGAAAGAAAGTCTAACGCGTTCCAATCTCTCCAACTTCCGTACCGCTAAGTTCACTTATTCTCTTTGTACTTTTGACCCAATAAATTATTATTTTGAGACACGAAATATTAAAACGTATTTGAAATTTTTCATGGCATTTCGTTTCGATTGATTTTCTTTGAGAACGGCTTTCAACTTTTGATTCACTTTTTTCTCGTGAGTTTCTTCGAACAGACCAACGATGAAACATTCTAATCCGAGTTCCTCTTCGTGGTAATGATAACGTAGGTAAAACATTGTCCGCGCACTAATTTCGCGATAACGTAATCAAAACTAAGATTACTATGCGATGCAATCAACCGTACGAGAAATGCTTTTTCTTTCAGATTAAAACGCCGTCGAGGATTACTGGGTCGCAACCATTGTTTTGTCTATAGCACTCCTGTTTCCGATGAGATTCTAAAGGGGAAAGAAGAGAGAGAGAGAGAGAGAGAGAGAGAGAGAGAGAGAGATTCTTTCGAACGAACTTCTCATACGTAAGGTCGAATTTATTTTTCTCTTTCTTTTTTTTCCTTTCATTCACACATCTTCTTTTAACCGAGTTTCTTTCGAAACTTTTATTAAAAACTTCTCGGCCAAAATCAAAAGAACTTTCGATTTTTCTTTCCCAAAGTGACAGTAACGCCGACACGTGTTTAATTTTCTCCATGAATGAAAGAAAACTTCCTCCTTTCTTGTTCTTTTTTATCATTCTTTAATTGATCAAGTTCGTTCTTGAAGTTAGAGAAAAATAAAACGAACTCTGTTAAGATGATCCAGAAGTATTTTAGACGAAAATGTGATAAGAAACGATATCGATCGAATAGCTAGATCGAAAGGCTGAATAGGCAGGGTGCGGGCTAATGCATAAACAATGTGCCGTTTATCCGCATTGAGGATGCAGTTCCAATGAATAGTAAACCAGCTTACAGACATGCGGATAGATGGTCTCAGTCTGCTATAGAGTACAAGCACTAGGGGGTTGAGGATTATCGACGAAAAAGTACAACTCTTCTTGCACGATAACTCCCCTAAGCAAGGAGAGAATGGACAAAAGGAAGGTAGAGAGAGAGAAAGAGAGAGAGAGAGAGAGAGAGAGAAGAGAAGAAGGAGGATACGAATATTATAGTCCTCGAGAATTCGTCTCAGTTTCATTTACTTCATCAATTCGATAGACTCTAAATTACTCGTGGTTGACTGCCAACTGCACTCGTCGTTGTTATTTCAATGCAATCTATCTCCGTAAACTCGTTACATGAAAACCAAAAAATTATATTATTCTCCATGTTTCGATTTCAATCCTTTTTAATCGAATTTTACGAATGAAATGATTTCGTTAATCATAATTAATCGTAATCGAACAAATATAATTTCAAAACTAATTCAAGTTGATCGTATATTTGAAAAATTGTCAGATGCAATCTTAATGATTGTTATAGATTTCATAACGTACACGAGCTAACCGGTAACATGGAAACTTTTCTTAACGTGAAATTGTCAAAGTAATTGCAAACGCAACAAAACAGCAGACGCTTTTGGTGTTTCATTTATAATCCCTCCAACAAAAAGTCAATTTTACAAGGAAAATAAAAAAAAAAGTGTCAACTCGGTGAAACGACTCGTTCTACTACGTTAATTGCACTTTTATATGGTAGAGATTAAATTTGCTTTACCGAATAGTATTACGAACCGATTGTTACAAGAA